AAAGTCAAATTAAGATTACTAAATTTGGGAGGATGGAGTATATGTTTGTAATTATCTTTTTAAAATAAGGATAAGATAAGAATAAGGGCATTAAATGAGAACTTAAAAATGGAAAAATGGACAACTTTAGCTTAGAAGCTGTTTAGTATAATGGTTTGAAACTAGTAGTTAATAATTTTGTTTAAACTAATGGTTGACAATTTTTATTATTAATAATTCAAATTCTCTCATCCATTGGATTAGATGAAACCATTAACAATTAGTTTCAAATTGCTATACTAAATAACTCTTTCGTATGATTTTAGTTTTGATTTTGGGTTTTCATCTTTATACTCCCTCTATTCAAGTTTAGGAGGCCTTTTTTTTTTTTTTTTTTCAATAAAGGATATAATAATTTGTTGATAAATTTTCATAATTATTTCTAATTAATCACTACTTAAATAAAATTTCTTATTCAATATATGTTGTAATTATCTTTAAAAAAAGGTAAAATATGAATAATTGCATTTAGTAATTTCTTAAAAAGGAAAAGTAGATAATAAAATTTCAATGGCTTATATTAGAAATTAGGTATACTAAAATTAGATAAAGGGAGTATATTTAGTAATATACTATATTTAGATTAAATTAAATAAATTTAAATTTTGCTAAAAAGTTTTGATTTTTAAATAAGGTAGTACTTACCAAATATAAGAAAAGAAATAAAAAGCAAAAATCAAAATCATACTAAACGAGCTTAAATTTAAACGTTTCAAATTGAAAATTATGTTTACTAAAATTAAACAGATGGAATATGAGAATATAACATTATGCCTCCTGAAGAATGTGGTCAATTTCATGTTGGTAACAATTTCATGTTGGTAACATTGTAAGAAAAGTCTTTTATTATATAATCGAATTGTACTAAATTATAAAATAATTTTTTTATTGTAACAATTGTTTTTTGATGTTTATTTTTATTGTAACAATTGATAGATTTATTCAAAACAAGTGTGGAGTAAAGGTGCAAATTATCTAATTAATATTTAAATAAAAAATAAAAAATTTATTGCTTTATTTAAAAAACTAATAAAATTCATGTCTATAAATAAAAAAAGAGCGAATTTCGTGTACTTATCTTCACTATTCTCGCGTGGGTGTGGGTTAATTTGTAAATAAAGTCATGGATCAATTTATTAATTAGTTAAGTTAAACCTCTAATTCAGTCTCTGAACTATTATATGTATCTCTGATTTGGTCATTGAACTAAAAAATTCCTAATTTGATTGTTAAACTATTGTATGGATTATCGATTTGGTCTTTATTGTTTATTAATTTGGCTCCAAATTGGTATTTTTGTACAAAAAATAGTTAACGTGTCCATTATTTAACGGCGAAAAAAAAGTTACTTAATGACCACATGTCATGTTAATAATGATTTTTTTTTTTTTTTTGTGATACGGAAAAACCAACTTATGGTAAATTGATAAATAGTATGACCAAATCGGGCTGTACAATAATTTGGGGACCAAATTGAAGGTCCATATAATAGTTTAGGGACCAAATTGAGGATTTAACCAAGGGGAAAACACCAATTAGCGCCAAAAGATTTCCATCTTCCAAACCTTCTGGAAGGAAAACCGGAGAAAGAAATGACAGCAACGCCTCATCTCTTCCATTCTCTTCTTCTCCCAATTACTCCCTACGCGACTGCTAAACTCAGGGACAAACCTCATTTTCCGGCGTACGGTGGTACCACCGTCTCAGAAACAAGGACAGCTTTGTCCCCAATAGCGTGCGCTTACAGAGCCCAGGACGACTACCATGCCACTCTCAAAGCTCTTAACTCCAGAGGCCGTTTTCCTAGGAAATCACTGGGTCAGGTCCAAATTCAATCGCAACATTTTATTGGGAAAACTAAATCTTTTGTGGGCATATTTTATTGTTAGTTCTCACTGGGGACTTTTGTCGAACACCCGTTGTGTGCAGCATTACATGTTGAATCCTGAGATTAACGAGGAACTTTCGCGCGCGGCTCATGTTAAGGAAGGTGATGTGGTCTTAGAAATTGGACCTGGAACTGGTTCTTTAACCAATGTACTCTTAAACAGCGGTGCCACTGTCCTTGCAATTGAAAAGGTTTGTTATCGTTAATGAATGATGCATGCTTTTATTCAACATGGAATCAGACTATGAGTTGAGAGAATGTGGTATGTGGGTATTTTATGTGCTGCAGGACCCACACATGGTAGCTCTTGTGAGAGAAAGATTTGCAAGTACAGAACACTTCAAGGTAAACTTCTATATACATTGCAGTTGTATCTGAAATTTGCTTTCTTATCTACATTGTGTTTTGAATAATGATTCATATTTTCAATGATTAGGTTTTGCAAGAGGACTTTGTCAAATGTCACATCCGCTCTCATATGTTACCATTGTTGGAAAATAGAAAATCGTTAGATGCAAGTTCAATGCATGCGAAGGTGAGAAGAACCCTTCTTTTTTATTAGCTGTTCTTTGAAGAGAATTTATAATGTTTACATACTTAAAAGTTAAAGGATGTGCTTGGATATATTGAATTTGTAGCATCAAATGACTTGCTATTTCCTGTTTGTGACTAGCATTTGGAGCTCTAAGCAATGCTAAATTTCAGAAACTCTAAATTAAACTTATCCTTTTTTTCACACAATTTACCCATGGTTAGTCTAAACCACTTTTTTGTTGCAGGTAGTGGCCAGCATACCCTTTAACATAAGTACAGATGTTGTCAAACAACTTCTTCCAATGGGGGACATCTTCTCGGAAGTTGTTCTATTACTTCAGGTTAATATTCACAATGTTTTGCTCTATTAATTTGTAGAAATTATTCGAGATTGAAAGCTTCACTGTTTCAGGCCTTTTTGTCTCAGATCTATAATCCACCACTGCAAGTCAGCATTGATTTATTTTCATTATTCTATTACTGAATGCTGCTTGTTCAACCAGAAATCATGTTTCTGCCCATACCTAGTTTGTATTTAAGATAGAAATATGAGCTTGAAGATGTCTAAAATGGACTGGAATGGTAGAAGGCAACCATGAAAGTGAATACTTGGAATTTTCTCAGACTATTGCTTCAGTTTGGATCATGTTAAAAGTTCATTGGTAAACCTACTCACTAAGTGTGATGCAGGATGAGACAGCTATGCGCTTGGTTGAATCATCTTTGAGGACATCTGAGTACCGACCAATTAATATCTTTGTTAATTTTTATTCAGGTATTTCTGCCACACATTTAATTGACTGTATTATTTTCTTTGACTATTGTAATGCCTAATATCAACTGATTGCTTTCTGGGTTGTAATTTGAAGGACCAATAAATGAGTAAGAATATTAAGGATTGAGATGGGTGAGGTTATGGTTTCTAACTAAAAATACGAAATGGCAAAAAAGAAGTGCTGATATATGATATATCCCTTCTCTTCCACTGAGTCTTAAGGTTTTCTATACAGCTAATCTTCTGATGCATGTTTGCTTCTTGATCACCTTTTCAGAGCCAGAATACATACTGAAAGTCCCAAGAACAAATTTTTTTCCTCAACCTAATGTAAGTGGTTTAAGTGATCCAATTTCTGTTGTGATGCCATGCAGATTTTGTTTGTTCAGTCTATTTGAAGTTTCATTTTACAAACTAAGAGAATTCGCAATTAGCATAGCTGGTTTCAAGAATTTGAATCCACCTTCACTGGCGTGAAACGTCTGTTTTTCATGAGGTCTGCCCATTATTAACTATTTTGGCTTAACTTTTTTGAGATTGAACCATTTCTTTATGCTTACGTAGGTTGATGCAGCTGTTGTTACATTTAAGCTGAAGCAAGCTGCAGGCTATCCTCCAGTTGCCTGCACCCAAAGCTTTTTCTCAATGGTTATGTTAATACTTAATCCTCATTGTTTCACGTTTATGCTGTTAGATATCTGACTGCACCTTCAACTAAAACCTTCATCCATAGCTTACCTCTTTTGGGACTTCATCTTTATCTTTGTATTATAATTCTTCAAGTATTAGTCCAGTTTTCCCTCGTATCATATGAAATGACTTGACGTCCTTCGTTTCTAAATTAGCTGTCTGAACATACGCACGTTTCACTAACATGCTTCATTGTTTGTTAACATAGGTTAATTCTGCATTCAATGGAAAGCGCAAGATGTTGCGGAAATCTCTCCAGCACATTTGCCCATCCAATGAGATTGAGAGAGCTCTTGTGGATATAGGGCTTCGAGCCACAGTGAGTCTCTTTTGCAGATTGGCAATTTTGTTTCTTGTCCATACTCTGCATTTCTTCATTAGCTATCATCAACTGTGTAATTATTATCCATCTCACAGTACTGCCTCGATTTCACTAACCCTTTTGACCATACATGTAGTCAAGACCAGAGGAGCTTACCTTGGATGATTTTGTGAAATTGCATAATCTGGTTGTCCATGTATAGTCGGCCCAGTTCCTCTAAGGCAAAGTTGTTGCAAATTCCTATC